GACATATTTGGTAACAAAGAAAAGCTAAGGACATGCACCCTCCCCACTCTCCCCCATACATTCTCAGCCTCTGGCACGACCTCATTTAACTTCTGATCAAGTCATTAATGCATCAAAGATGCATCTGTCTGCTGTCTTTCCACCTTCTAATCTCTTCTTTACCACTGAAAAAATGCCACAGCTTCCCAAAGTTGCTCTTGCTTCCTCATTTGGGTGTCATTTTTGCCAGAGGTCTCACATACCTGCCCTGGAGGAGATAATGATTGAAGTGTAACACTTAGCTGGTCCCTCTAGATTGTGCCCTGGTCAGGCCACATCTAGAGCATTTTGGGGTTTTATATTTTAGGAAAGACTTTGACAAGCTAGAGTTCATCCAGAAGAGGCCAGCCTCTGGTTGATGAGTAAGGGGACTCAAAATCACCTTATGTAAGGATGGATCAAAGAACTGAAGATTCCTCACCTTTCATGGGGGCATAATCACAGACTTCCATTATTCTTAAGGTTATCATATGGGAAAGAGGATTACATTTGTTCTGCCTGGCTCCAGAAGGCAAGACAAAGACCAATGGAGAGAAGTTAAAAGGAGGCGAATTTGGTCCAACTTGCAAGAAAAACTTCCTAACAATTAGAGTTATCCAAAATGGCATGAGCTCTGAGGGAAGCAATGAGTCTTCTCATCTCTGGTGGTTTTAAACTGGATGCTAATTGATGAGCAGGTGGGATGATACAGAGAGGAGTCATGATGTGTGTCAAGGTTAGACTGCATGTTCTCTAGGGTCCCTTGCAATTCTGAGATTGTATGATTCTATTATTCTATGATTCATTGCACTCCTTAGGATAGAAGTGGACATCTGGGGACAAGGAAACTATTCTCCTTAACCAGCTTTTTCCTTTTGGTAGCTGCTACAGAAATTGATGAGCAAAAATAGGAACTCACCAACAATCTACAAGATATGATTCCCAACGACTCATGCATACCATCTATCACCCCAAACCACACATCCTCTTCTCACCACAAACCTTCCCCTCTCCCTACAAAATATGTTCCCAACGCCACCCTTTCCCCTCAAAACATTTAAAGACAAACAAACCCTTATGAACCCAGGGTCAGCAGTATTTTTAGCAAAAAGTAGATTGCAGATCTCAGAGACTGTCTAGTCTAACCCCCCTCATTTTGCGGAAGAGGAACCCAAGTCTCAGGAACAACAGTGACTTGGCCAAGGTCACACAAGCAGTGAATGTTAGAGGTGGGATTTGAACCCAGGTTCTCTGACTCGGGACACAGTGCACTGTCTATGCTGCCTCCAGGTAAAAAGTACTTGGGTTTCTAGGCTCAGGGTAGAGGGTGCAGAAAAGATACTATTGGCCAACCCAAATGTTTCTGGGGAACAAATTACAGTAGCAGCCACCTCCAGGCATCCTAATGATGATGGTAACTTTGCACAGCCCTTCCTCACTTAAATCCAATTCATTTGCAAGTCATGGTATCACCTTCCTGATGTCACAGTCTTCTTTGAGAATGTAGGACAAACAACAACAGTGTTATAAAGTACTAATGGGTAGACTACTTTGAATTTCATTAATTAGGTCACATTTCTGTGGGATTTAAATGCATCATAATAAAAGCCTCAAAACTATGTAGTAAGAGTATTATTGTACTTATTTTATAGCTGAGCAAACTTGGGCTTGAAAGGCTATTGCTTAAAAAAAAACATAAACATTAAAAAAAAAAAACCAAATCCAAATGAACTGGGAAAGAGAATACTTAGCCAGTGGTGACAGAGACAGAACTAGGAAGACACCTGATGACCCAAGAGATTCTAGGAAGGCCTAAGCCAGAGGGAATCATTCCACTTATGGAGGAGGTCTAAGAAAGATCTGTCACCTCTCTGTCACCTTTTGAAGGTATGTATTATTACTCTTACTTTCTTTTCTTTCCCTGAAAACTGCTGCAATTGAGCCCAGCCTAAGAAATGAGAACACTGGACTGGAAATCAGAAGACGTGGCTTCCTATGACCTTGGAAGAGTAACCTAGCTTCCCTGAGCTTGCTTGAGTTTGCTCTCCTATGGAAAACCAGAAAGTTAGCCTGGACGATCTCTAAGGTAGGGAGAGTGTTATGGCAAGGAAGGTGGGTGTGGCATCAAAAGACCTGGATTTATTTCTGGCTCTGCCACTCCCTAGCAGTTTGATCTTAGCCTCACACTCTGCCCATCTCTGGACTTCTGAATCCTCATCTGTGAGGGATTGGACTGGATAATCCCTAAAGGCCTTTCTAGATCTCAGCTTTATCAGTATTATTATCTCCTTTTATTGATTAGGAAACTGAGGCTTAGAGAAAGTTAAGTGAGGAGAGCTGAAACAGCTCTCAAGCCTGCCTTCCTACTGTATAGTGGGGAGGGGAAGGTGTGGATTAGCAAGATGAACCTTGTTTGTTAACGTGTCATTAGTAGTGGTGGTGGTGGTAAAAAGATAAGGAAGGTGAATGACACTGTTTCTAGGGGCTTGTTTGACATAATATTGATTGAAAATTACCTTTCTGAAAAGCAATGTGAAGGCCAGGTGGAATGCTGCTTCTTCCCACCCACAAGTCCAAAATCATGGGAGGACTGCCAGTCTACTCAGTGCATAGGATGTCAAGATTTTGAACAGCAATGGAATCATAATTTTATTTATTAATATTACCATGAAAAAATAATTATTGGCTGCTAATAATAAAATCACTTTTAGGTACTCCCTGAGGCACATTAAAGTAAATAATTTTACATGTATTATCTCATTTCCAGTCCGACCACCTCTTTTTACAGTCGAGGAAATTGAGGCAAAGAGGTAAAAGTGACTTACCCAAAGCCACTCATAATATATGTCAGGTGGAAGATACCAACGCCAAATCCATCTCACTCTGGATCTAACCTGCCACTCATCGGATACCCCTGCCAATTCTTCTAAGGTTGGCAGACCACCTGGTCCTTCTCCTTACCTCAGGAGTGAGAAATATCTCATTGAAGGGCAGGACTGAGTCCTTCCTGTGTTCTCAAGAATACACCTGCCCTGGGGATAAGGCCTAAAGAATGTGATTCTTAAGAAATGTTGGGGTTGAAGCTGGTGAGGGAGAGGTCCCAGAGTTCTTGGCTTTCTGATTCATGCACCTTTATGCAATGAATCCTTTGGCTTATCAAAGTAAAGGGAGGCCACCCAAGGTGACCTAAAAAAAATAAATTAAATGGAGATTTCTACCTACTATGCAGGGTTCACTTTTTGCCTGGTCCTTAGCTATGATTCTCCTAAGCACATCCTTTCAGCGAGGCCTCATGATTCTGAGAGGCTGGAAGCTGCTAGTAAAGAATGTTTCAACTTTCCCTCCACTCTCTTTCACGTTACTAGCAGCCGGGTTTGAATTGTTGCATCTTGCCAGTACATGTAGTCGGCTGAATCTTTGACATAAAAATAGGGTATGTAAAACAGATGCGAGGCATCCGTATATGACAAACCATACATGTAAAAAAAAATGTGTGTGTGCGCCTAACCAGAGCGAGGTATGTCCACACACCCACATCCATACAAAAGCAAGCATAGTGCCTTCCCCAAACGGTAGGTGTGTTTTGACTGGAAGCGCTTATATTTTGAGATATCCAGATTATTTGGACACAGTCTGTTGTAACACAGCAAAGGGGAAATAAAATATGTATGTGTGTATTACAGCATATTGCCATTCCCCAAAGCACAGGTATTGTGCTGTCTCCTTGGTATTGAATCATCCTTAACGGTATTGCAGCAACGGGACAGAAATCCAAACAGAGGGAGCTAGCTAGCTACCTATCGGATTTACAAAGTTCTATACCCAGGCTTTTGTAGATTGTGTTACAATATGAATTGTTATGCGTAGACCGAACGGTTCACACATTATTACCAACAAGCAAAACAACAGTAACAAAAACCCCTAACACCTTGAGCTGGGTGGATGTTTCAGAACACCTGTATACAGAAAATTGGCATATTTTTAAAAATAACCCCTATTGTGTATCACAGCACCGTTTAAAGGTTTGCAGTAAAAATTCATCTCCATGCCTTCATTGCGCGTGTCCTACCTGTGCCTTTTTCTTTAATGAGCAAGTTATGTATGCAACAAGCAACATTGTTTTACTTGTGCCAATACCCCTGGGATTCAACTGGGGGCTGAGGAGAGAAAGCAATAGAAGAGGATAAATAACGAGAAAAGCATTGCTTCGTTTCCTAGCTCTAGCTGTTAGGAAAGGAAATGTTGCAGTCAAGAATCCCAGCCCTGGAGTTGAAGAGTTGAATCCACTGGAAGAGGTGACGTGTTCATCCTCTTCTAAATTGCTGGAAAGGAGCTGACAAACTTCGGGACACAGAAAAAGACAGAACGGCCCAGGGGTGAATAGGGTCACTTAGGTGAATACCGAGGCCACCAGCGGCCGAAAAGAAAAGGACACTTAAAGCCACAGCTAATTTACTGCCGTACTACAAAGTAGGCGGACCGAATAGGTGCTAGCTCTGATTTTACGCGCTTCTTCTAGAGCATTCCTGCTCCCCTAACGGAACATTGTTTCCCTCCCTGTCAAAATGAGCATCCCTATCCAAAGAAGACTCACTCATTTCCCCTCTCCCCCTCCCTACACCTACTTTCATTGCATAGTATTTATGCAATATTTCGTTTCCGGGGGGTCCTTTTCTGGAACTCGGTATAATCAAGACAAACGCTGAGAAATAAAGCTTTGGACGAAGTTCTGAAAACAAAAATATTCAGCCCAATGTGACCCCCCTCCAAATAGTCCCTCTGTTCTTCTCCCAAGGTTTGCTGCTCCTTACTAGTGGTGATATGGGAGTTAGCGAAGCAGGTCGGGTAATATCTTTTGAAGAAAATAAAGCTTGGATGAAGGCAGCCTTCCTAAATTCCCATCCCAGCATCACTCTCCCCCCGCCCCGCCCCGTTTTAAAAATGGATACAGGAGTTGTGCAGTAAGCACTTTGTAAACCAAAAAAAGTTATGTACATTTATTATTGCAATCAACAGTAGCATCATAATTACAATAAATTTCATAATCATTTATCTAAAATGATGATCAAGCTTAAACCCAGATAGCCTTTACACGCTTCAGAACTAGGGTTTTATTTTGTTTTGTTTTGTTTTTTTTAAACCACCTCACAGAATCAGCTACTAACAAAGTCCTGTCGTAGCATAAATCAGGACCAAAAAATACAAGTAATGTTACGAAGTAGACGCAAAGCTACGATGTGAAAACATCAAAGGAAACTGGATAAAAATGCTATTGAAAATAATATTTTGTACCATTCCTTCCTTCCTCCCCAAAGCGCTGAGTTTTTTGTTTGTTTGTTTGTTTTTGTTTGGTTTTGTCTTTAAAGAGATGAAACTATAGATTTAGCAAATCAATAGATTAAGCCTCAGGAACAACGTGATCGAAGTTTTCCGAAATGTCAAGAAAACAGTTGAATTCAAACTCGGGTAATTCACCTGGCCGGCATCTTATGCTTGGCGAGCTGGCTTGGGGCTGAGGAAGGAAAGCCCTAACTAGGGGAGGTGGTTTTGGTTTTGGTTTTTGTCAAGGCAGGAAACCCGCTCTGCCAAAGTCAACTAGGAATCTCTCCAGTCGTCCCCGAAACCTAGCGGTCTAGCGACGTGTTTGTGCCCTTTTCGTGCGGCCGATGTCCGTACGCACCAGCGAGGATAGTCCAGGCTGGTCCTCAGGAATGGAGCCGAGCGCGGACTGATGGGGGACAGTTTGGATTGGGGGCTGATGGACAGCAGTGCTTACATGTCTCTGCTGTTTCTCTCCCCCAGCCATGGGGCACACTTCAAGAACGACCCCCCTCTCAAAAGAATGCGGTTGACTTTTTTTTTCTTTTTTTAAGACATGACGAGCCCTTCAGAATTCGGTGTCACTCATTTCCTTAACAGGTAGTTTCATGGAGGATCTTGTCGGTCTTAAATATCAAAGGCTGGGCAGAGGCGCTCCGAGACAGGAGAGGGAGAGCTGGAACATTTTGTTCTGGTAGCAAATGAGCTTTAAATAACCTCATCTTCCTCCCACTTTCCCTCAACCCTGTGGTGAAAAAAGACAGGGAGCCTGACCATTTTGAGACTCCTATAAACTCCGTAGGAGACATCTACACAAATGCAAAACAGGAATCAGCCCCCTCCTCTGCGTTCCCCAACACCCCCAAGGCCACCCTTGGTGGCTGCATACCCTGTGGGACAGCTTGGTTTTATACAAAAATGGATCGGGTAGGGATGGGGGATGGGGAGAAGACACCTAGAACTGCCGTGTTTGGACTCCGCAGCAAAGGAGGAAGGTGATAGATAGCTCTTGGGTACTGGGAATCTAAGGACGCCTTTCTCCATTGCACTTCGGAGAGGGCAGTGTAGTCCTGAGTCTGCAGGTTGGCGGAGGGCAGGCTTCCGAACCAGCAAGGTCTTGGTTCCCGCTCTCAAGGCTGCGGGTTCGCGGTGCTCCCTTCTCGCACCGCCGCCACACACCTTCCCCTTTCCCGCACCGAGCTGGGCTGGGGGCAAATGTTTCCTTCGTGCGTTGTGTTTGTTTTCCATCTCTACGCGGTGAAGTGCGATGGCCGAGGGCCTGGGGTCAGGAGGAGCAGGCTGGGTCAGACAGAGCTCAGCTGGGCGTAGCTCCCACCCACGTTCGCGTCCATGCCCGCGCTGCCACCTGCCCCGGGATATAGGAAAGGGGAGGCTGGCACAGCTCGCGCGCCTGTGCCCTAAAGGTTAACTACGGCGGGACTGGGAAAGGCGAAGCAGGAGGGTGAAGAGAAGAGTGGCTTGGGATGCAGAAGCGGGGCGAGGAGACCAGAGCCTGTCTATCCTTTCCTTCCACAATTATTTAGAGGGCAGCATGGTCGTGGGGAAAGCATTTTGTGAGCCTGGAAGCTCTATAAACATGGGCGCTATGGGTGCCACTCTACTGCGTGTGGGTGCTTTCAGACAAAACCCGAGCCCAAAACTAGTTCTCTATCGTTGGCTATGCCCGACAGCCCTCAAGATAATCGGCTTTCCTTTTAATCCCCATAATCACTACAGCTACGAGAGCTGTGAGGAGGAAGCTTCACTCGGTTGCTTTCCAACAGGTTGTTCACTAGGCAAAAGTCTCCGATTTCCCTTTCGGGTTACTTTTCTCAAGCGACCTAGAGGCTATAACATTTCAACCTTTCCCTGTCCCGGAGACTGTGTGCGGGCGGCCCGCCCACGCCCCCTGGGCCCAGGCTTCGGACTTTTCCCTTACCGCCCTCCCTTCCACCCTCACCCCCACCCAGGATGGTGCAGCTGTCCCTCCGCTTTGTGCCTCGCTACTAATCATGCAGCCAGTTTTCAAAAGTTGCCACAGCAGAGTTTTCTCTTGCTTTCTTTTTTTTTCTTCCTCTTACAGACCTTCCCGTCTGCTGGAGCTGGCCTGGGGTTCTTAGGCAAGCCTTAGCAGGAAAGAGAAAAAGGAAAAACCCCTACTTTCCCACCCCGCCCCCCTTTTCCTCTTTCCTACCCTCTCTCTCCTCGAAGGGCAGACCTTCCTGGAGGACTAAGACCCTCGGAGCCTGAAAGCCCAGGAGTCCCCGAAGACTGGTGACTCTGGTGGGAAGGAGTTTGTTCTGCATCTCCCACCCCAGCTCTCTTCACTTCTCCGCCCTTCCCCGCCCCCCTCTTCTCCATCTCAGGCTTGCTTGATCTCCGGAGCTAGTTTTGTTCACATTTTCTTCTTCTTCAAAAATAAAAATCTGAATTTCAAAAACCTCAAACCGAGGACCCCACTTCAACTTTCTTCGTCGTCCACTTTTCCTATCTCTCTCTCTTGGAGCATGCAGGGTGAACGAGCAGCATTCCCAACTTTGCTGCTCTCTCCCCCCTGCCTATCGACAGATGGCTGCCTACTACCTTGGACTGTTTCTTCGGCCCAATTTCGCTTCCCAAGTACACAGCCTTTCCCTTGCCCGGTGTTTTCAGAAGAGGAACGAGACAGACTGCAAAAACTTGACCGTACCTTTCCTTCGTCTCTTCTCTCCCTCCCCACTCCAAACCTTGGCTCTGGTTGCAATTTTGTTTTGTTTTGTTTTTAATAGGAATACCGGGAAACTGTTCCCCTATCTCTGAAACATCTTCCCCTTCTTTCTTGGGGTGCAGCATTGCCTTAGGCAGTGTTGCCAACTAGGTACATTGAATTAGAGATGGGCAAAAGTTCCCTCAATCCCTTCAAACAAACCGGATCTTTAAGTGAAGAGATCAGATCAAACTGTAGTAAGAGCCCTACACTAGAAAACATTCATGTATATGTATATGTAGAAAGAGATTGATTTTGTGCCGTTATTGATTGGCAAAGAGGTTTTTTTTCAAATGCTAGAGAATTGAACTTCCTAATCTTTAGTGCCTTGAAATGCTCTGCATGAAAGATGAACAAAGTCCGAAGTGGATGGCAAGACACCTGATACTGTAGATTGGCAAAGGTTTTTCACAGTTTTGGTATTCTTTATTCCTCACAACTCTGATCTGAGGTGTATGCCAGGGTGTAGCCCCGTTCTAGACTCTGTGGGGAGCTTTTACAATTTTTGCTGTCTTGACACCAGCCCTAAGGACAAACAAGAGGTCACTTTGAGACATAGGATGTGCTGAATTAGGCTACTTTTGCATCATCCCAACTAGAATCCAGTCATTTCTCACTCTGCTTTGGCATTTTGGACTTAAATCGGTTGCTTAAGTGTGGTCAGATCTGGCCTTAATGAGCAAAAGTCCACAAAAAGCAAGAACTCCCTCTGCCCCTTTGACACAAATCAGAACAAATTATTAAAACTCCATTATACTTACCACCACGTGCTAGTCTTCTAAAATTAAGTATGTACTGTATATATATACATATACATACACACACACACATACACACACATATATGCACTGTTCTACCTTCCATTCAGAAACAAAGCTAAAGCCAAGGAAATACATATATAGAAATTGCCTTGTGTAATAACTTATTTTTCTATTGTGTTAAGGTCTACCAAGCACTTTCTCTACAACAAACTTGTGAGAGATAGTATAATATATTGTCCCCATCTTAGCTGAAGAAGTGAAATGATTTGCCTAAGGTCGCAAAAAAAATCATAAATAAGCAGGGTCTGAATTCAGAGCTCCTAACACTCAGTATGGTACTTCCCACTTCATCATACTGCCTTACTGTCACCTACTCCTTATTTAGAACAGCAACAAGAGTGGGTGTCAATGTGAGTCCTCCAGAGTGTCTATGGAGATTGGGGAGGGTCAGGTGGGACAGGTTTACCAGCTTCTCAAAGCTTAGTTAGGAAGCTCATAAGGCATGGCAGCAGCGGCAACAGCATCTTGTGGAAGGGCAGCCCTGGCTCTCAAATAAAGGAGTGTTTGTTGGGGGTGGGAGGGAAGGAGGAAGAATGAAAGAGAAGGGGAGAAGAGGGCAAGAAATAAATTCAGCTGGAAAGAAAGGGGTGTGTGTGTGTGTGTGTGTGTGTGTGTGTGTGTGTGTGTGTGTGTGTAAGCAGAATTGCTTTCAGCCTACGGGCTATGATTTTTTTTCCCTTTAATTTTAAACCTCCTTTGGGGGAGAAGAGTATTCCCTCCAAATCCCTAAAGCAGCCCAACTCCTTTTATAAAGTCTCTCCAGGCTCCCCTTCCTATATTCTTTAGCTGCAGCATCTAGTTCCTGTAAACTAGTAGCACTTTGAGATATTTCTTTGCTTGGAGTATAAAGATTGCATACACAAACGTAATGCCCTACTTCCCTTTCCCATTCACAATCCTCCACCCTGTTGTAAATCTGTGCACTTTCACATTTTATCATTGAAACCACCAGGAGTTTTTGGTGTTTTTGTTTGTTTTGAGGAGGGAAAGAAGGGATTGGGTGAGAAAATGCTGGGCAAGAAGAGGATTGAAGGGAGAAGGTCAGGAGTTGGGACATTATGGTTCTCTGGATAATGTTTTGTTGATTTTTTTGGTGTCATTTTATTACTTCAGAAGGCTTTCCTGCTAGAACATGGCCTATTTACATTATAGCTGGTACAGGAAGTTGAGAGTCTTTATCAAAACAAAGTACTGTAGTCAAAGGATTTCAGGATGCTTCCCCTACCCCACCCCCCAAATTAAATAAATTTAAAAGGGCTCTCTTCAGTTCCATGACCTCTAAACAGTTGAAAGTCCTCAGCTTTAGGAGAAGAGCTGATCTTTTTCTTCCATTCCTGGTAACAGAGTGTGGTGATGACCCATCTCTGAAGAGAGGGTAGTGAAGTCTAAAGGAAAGACAGCATCAGGACCCTCCCAAGTGCCAGAGAGCTGTGGTCTTAAATAGAAGGAAACTAGGGAGCTGACTGGACAAGTAGTTTAATAGAGAGGAAATAGATTTCACTTAAGACCACTGAGGGTTTGAGAGCTGGACCAGACCATATAAGCCATGGTCCCTTAACTTTTTTGTGCGTCATAGCACACAAGTAAACCTGTCCTACCTGGCCCTTTTGGCAGTCTGGTGAAGCCTGTGGACACCTTCTCACAAAAAAAAAAAATTTAAATGCATAAAACAAAACACATAGGATTACAAAGTAAAGCAATATGATCTCTCTCTCTCTCTCTCTCTCTGTTGTACACACACACACACACACACACACACACATTCAAATTTACAGATCCCAGGTTAAGAACTCTCAAACTAGGCCAACCCCTCATTTTACTGACGAAGACAATGAGGACCAGATTGGTGAAGCAACTTAGCTAAAATTATACAGAAATAATAAATTTCAAAACCAGGATTTGGTTGTAATCTTTGACTACCCATTCAAGGCTAAATCTACCATACCACATGATGGAGCATTTTTCCCTGAGCCTGGTAACATCCAATAAGAGAATGTTTTTCCCCTTTTAATGATACTTTTAGGCCCCATATTGAGATTTTCAGTTTTGCCTTGATTCAATCTCTGCTCATGCCCTTCCCCACCCTGCTTCCCACTAGCCCAAAGAATTGACTGTTTACTAATGTGTGTCTAGAGATTACTCCTATATGTTCTACATTTGGTTTGGTTTGAAAAGTTTGGGATTGAGTTGGGTTGGGGGGCAAAGATGGAGAAAGTTCTGTTTTCTCTTTCTCCTGTGGAGAGGTTAAGTCGCAGAGGGTGAAACTGGCTGCTTTATTGTTATTAGCCAACCACAATAGCAACATAAAATTTTGTTTTGTGAAAAAAAAATGCATATAAAATCCTTATTCTTTTTAATCATTCCTTCAAGTGTGAATTGCCTCTGTCTGGGAAATCAATTGTAATTCTTTACTAAGTATGTCCCTTTAAGAAAAATTCTTAAGCCTGTTCCTGGGCCCAGTGTCTGGGAAAGAAGCAAACTAACTGCTTAGGAACAAAAGAGACAAAGAACTCAAACAACAAAACAAATAAACAACTCCCCCCACCCCCTTAAGGGCAACAATAGACTAGACTTAGCAAGTGCAGTTGCTGCTTGGCCTGTGTTGATCTGTCGACCTGCCAAGTCTCCTTCATTTGGCTACAGACTTTCCCTCTCTCTCACCCAGCTCCCTCCCTCTGTTTACTTCCTCCCTCTGTTTACTTCCTCCCCCCTCTTCTGTCTTTTTAGGTCTTTCTCTCACTCCACTCCACTTTGTGCTTTGTTTTTCATTTTAGTACTGTGTACATTTGCAAAGTGGATGTATCTTAAAACTTTTGCTTTTCTGGGTAGTTACAGTAGCTTATTTTGTGTCCTAGAGGACAAATGATTCCTGCAGAATCCTGAAGTCACTGTATTAGTTAACTTCTTACTTTAGACTATTCTTTTCCTTGTATCTTAGGATTTAGAGCCAGAAAGGAACCTAGCCTAACTCCTTATATTTCACAGATGAGGATATTGTAGTCCATTGAGGGAAATATGTCCAAGGTCAAGGGCATAGACAGTAACTTGTCAGGATTTGAACACAGGCCCCTTGGCCTCCAATCTAGCACTCTTCTGTCACTTGGCATTTTTGTTTGCTTGAAACATATTCTCTATCCTCTTCCCAAACATTTCTCAAATGATGTAAATATCTTAGTCCTGGGATGATTTACATCATAAAGAAATGAATCCTTGAAAAAGAGAATTGAGAGAAAGAATCAATAACTGGAAAATGTGGGCAGTAGACATTGAAATTGAGCCTTACCCTTTCCCAACCCTAACCTTTAAAAATTTTTTTTACAATCTCTGTTGTTATACCACCTCCTCTTCATGAAATATCTGTGTGTGTTCCAGGGAAAAACTGGCCAAATCTGGCCTTCTCTGGGCAGCAGGTGTGAGGCAGGGTAGCCAATATGGACAGAGAGGGGTGGGAAAGGAGCTTTGAATTTCTATGGCAAAAATTCCCACCCTGACTTTTTTTTTTAAACTTCCTTAGAGGAAGGGGAAAAGAAAAGTCTCTGCCATGGACTAATTGTGTGATCACTGGCAGCTCACGTTGCTTCTCTGAAACTCAATTTCTTCATCTGTACAATATAGGGATTGGTTTAGATAATCTCTAAGGTCCCTTCGAACTCTGACTTTCTATGATTCTGAACATAAAAATAAAAATAAAAATAAAAAAGGATGGGAAGAGGAGGACTTGTCTCCAACTCAGATTTTCAATAAAAAATAGCATTCTGGAAAAAGCACTTTTTCCTAGGGGACAGTGGGTGTCTTACAATCAGGGAAAGCGTCTGTCACAATCAAGCTGAGAATGAGGGCAGTGTTGGATTATATAGAGAACCTAGCACATTTCCAATGTTACAACACTAGACGCTGTTTCTAACAGGGTCAAATGATTTCATTGCTGGAACTGGGACCTTAGAGATCATCTAGCCAAAAGAGATAACATATGTAAAGCACTTTTGAAACCTTAAAATGCTATGTAAATGTCAGCTATTACTGGTAACACGCAATCTCCTTGAGAGAAGGCACAATTTCATGTTTGTCTTTGTGTCACCAATGCCTTACACATCCTAAGGCCTTCATAAAATATTGTTAAATGGAATAGAGTCCAACATC